CTACCTATAGACATAACCAATGTCAAAATATTATTTAAAGACAATCTGAAGATTACAGGCATAAATACATTTTTTGCAATATTTTGCCAAACACTTGGCTGTGATGGAAGACTTTAGGCCAGACGCATAAAAAACTAGATCCATCAGTTTCTAGCTTTAATTGTCTTTCCCCAGCCAGACAACAACCTGTGCAGAGGCTCTATTTTCAAGTCCTGTGCTGAACCAGTTGTTGGCAAGTGGAACTGGGGTTTTATGTAGTTTTGTAAGTGGAAAAAAAGAAGGAAGTGTCTGTCCAGTTCTCTACCCAGATATGCTTTTTACCCCTGTGGTGTCTAGGAATGAGCTGACTGATATCCAGGTACTGGTCCAACAACTTTTTTTAGGAAATAGTGAGCCCAGCTCAATCCAGCCCACTTTCTTTTTCAGTCTCTCCATGCTGCAGTTCTACTTCCTCATGCTTTTGCTTATGAGTCCAGCTTTGCATTACTCAGCAAGTCTGACAGGTGGCCAGCAATCTACTGGTAAAGTAAAATAAATGCTATATTTTAACTTTCATTACCTAGACCAAATATGAATGGACCCTCAGTACATGAACAATTCTACACCAAGTAGTATCAATCCTAATGAGTGTGTCATGCTAGTGGAAACATTTATGTGGCCCCTGGGAACATGGAGGGCTGAAGAGTATATGTGAAATGCCCCTAACACAGACACAGTTTGAATCCATTCCCCTTGACTTTAAATGGCAATAGGGCCACAGCTTTCTAGCAGCACAGTGGCTTCCAGCTCCTCCTGTCTGCTGCCACACTCCATGCACTGGTGTAAAGACATCTCAGCTGGCCTGTCAGCCAGCTGCCTTCCTAAAGGAACAGCCCTTAATTCCTTTGAGATAATTCCCTGTTGGTTTCTGTTACCTTAGGAATCCCTGGCTTGTCTCCGTAAAGAGTGCAAGTGCATTCCAGTGTGGCCAGCACATTTCAGAGTCACTGGCAGAGGGTCCTCTTGCACGCTGTCCCTCTAACCTTCACTTCTCATCCCACCAGGCACACAAGTGATACTGTCCCCCTCTCCCCTATTGCAGCTAGTTTAAAGCTCTATCAATAGGCCCCTCTGGTTCCCAAGCAGCAACTCTCCTCCCCGAGAAAGGTGAGTCCTTACTGGTACAAGCATGCCTGGTGCTGCATAGACCATTGCATGGTGAAAAAACCCAAAATTCTGGTGGTGATACCAACAACAGAACCACGCAGTAATAGACGCAGCCATTTATTTCTTCCAATGTTGCTGCCTTCAGCTGGAAGTATAAAGGAAATCATAACCTGTGCCTCAGAGTCCCTTGCCAAACACTCCAAAGCTCTGAAACACTTTTTGATCATCCTTGGACTACATGTTGCCACTTCATCATTCCCTGTGTGGAAAATCAGTAATGAGTAGCAGTCTCAGGACCACTCCAGATTAGGAAGTTTCTGGGTGACATCCCTACCCAGGCCCCCAGGGAGGCAGCAGACCTTGTTATGGGTAGGACCTGACTGGACACAGCATTCCAGATGTGGTCTCAGCAGGGCTGGGGCAGGATCACCTCTCTGCTGGCAGTGCTCTTCCTAATGGCCCCCCAGGATCCCATTGACGTTCTTGGCCCTCAGGGCACACTGCTGGCTCATGGACAGATGGTTGTCCACCAGCACCCCCAGGTCCTTCTCCCCAGAGCTGCTTTTCCACAGGTCAGCCCCAGCGTGTCCTGGCACAGAGGGCTGTTCTTCCCCAGGTGCAGGACCCTGCTTTTGCTGAATTTCACACAGCTCTTCCCTGCCCATCTCTCCAGCCCCTCGAGGCCCTTCTGGAGGGCTGCACAGCACTCTGGGCTATCGGCCACTCCTCCCAGCTTTGTGTTGTCACTGAACTTGCTGAGGAGGCATCTGCCCTCTCATCCAAGTCACTGATGAACAAGAGAAACAATACTGGGCTCAGTATTGAACCCTGGGGGATACCACAAGTGAAAGGCCCCAGCCAGACCCAGTGCCTCATTACATCCCTCTGCAGTTTGCCAGCCAGTCAGCTCTCAATCCATCCAGTCCTTCCTTCCTGAGTTTGTTTATGAGAATATTGCAAGAAAGTGTCAAAAGTCTTGCTGAAATTGAGCTAGAAAATATCCACTGCATTCCCCCCTCCACCCAGGTAAATTGTTTCATTGTTGAAGGCCATCAGGTTGGTCGAGGACTATTCCTGATAATCTACTTGTCATCCATGTGGGGATGGACTTCAGAGTGAGGCACTCCACCACTTTTCCAGGGATTGAGATGAGGCTGACTAGTGGCTAAATTCCCTAAGTCTTTCTTCTTGCCTCTTCTGAAGGCTGGGGTGAAATTCGTTTTCTTCCAGTCCTCAGGCACTTCCCCCGATTGCCATAACCTTTCAAAGGTGATTGTGTTTGGCCTACTTACGGTGTTCACCAGGTCTCTCAGCACTGGTGGGTGCATCCCATCAGAGCCCATGGACTCATGGATGCTAAGGGTTCTCTAACCCAATCCTCCCAAACCAAGGGAAAACTTTAAAACAAACACTCCTTTACCCAGATCTCCTTTGTCAGAGATTCCTGAAGGCTGGTGTTGTCAATGAAGACTGATGCAAGGAAGGTGTTCAGTAACACTGCCTTCTCCTTCTCCTCTGTTACCAGTCCCCATTCCATTAATTCCAGATGTGTCTTGGCCTTCTTTGCCTCCCTTCTACTCACTCTGACAACCTCTCTATATTCATTCCAAGCGGCCTGACCCTGCTTCCATCTCCTGTGTATTTCCTACTTACACTGGAGAAATGACACGAGTTCTTTATTCATCCACATAGGTCTCTTGCCCACTTTGCCCAGTTTCTTGCTTGCTGAGATGCATCATTCTTGAGCCTTGCAGAAGTGATCCCTAAGATCAACAAGCTCTCCAGGACCCCTCTTCCCCACAGGATCTGTTCCCACAGGATTCTTCCAAGAAGACCCCAAAAGAGGACAAAGCTTGCTCTCCTGAAGTACATATTTACAATCTTACTTGCTGCCCAATACTGAATTCCACAATCTCACCGTCACTGAGCCAAGGCTGCCCCTGACCTTTATATCTCCAACAAGGCCTTCCATGTTAGTTGTAGCAAGATTGAGCAGCACACCATTCCTTGTGGAATCTTCCAATATCTGTCACACTCATACAAACCTCCTCCACCAAGGTGCTGAGAAGTAAAAGGAATTAGCATTTTTAAAAGATTAACTGAATTCCCTGCATCACTTTGAAAATTTTAGTTAGCTAAAGCAATTGTTTAACTTTGCATTGCAAAACACAGAAAATCAAAGGCATGCTGAAAAGACAACATTATGCTTAAGTTTAGCTCTGCTAACAATTTGGCCAAATTTACATTTATTTTCTAAATATGGCAAAGCTACTTTCTTAAGGAAAATATATTACCTTCCTAAGAAAGAATGAAAAACATAGGGTAACATGACTGCAAAGCACATTTTAAGTAATTTAAAACTTAAACTATCATTGTTTTGTAATACAATATAATATTAATTTGTAGCATTCGTACACTGGTTTCAAGACACTGATTCAATTTTAAGGTAAAATTCATGTCAGCTTATATACACTTTATGTGGATTCGATAAACTTGGGAGTGACTCAGAGAGATATTCTTATAACCTCTGCCCTGCTGTAAATCCTGGACTACTTTTCTTGTATGATTCCTTCTTTGTTGGGCAGACACAAGCCATTGGAAAACCTTTGCGATTACTTACCACAGTAGGCTTTGCAACTAAATTTTTAAAAAAATGTATCAGGATCACAGTGGAACAAGGCCTTCATACTTTCCTGCAAAGGCAATTCAGTTATCATGAAATAAGTACTTTGCACATCTGTTTGGGATTTTCAAGAAGAATTTTAAGGATAAGATTTCATTGCAGAAATGAAATCCTTAGCAGTGTGGCACAACTAACAGGAAATGTTCCATTCCATTATTTTCTTATATTGATACTGTTATACTCTGGATTTTAATACTGATAAAAGCAATCAACTTTGTTTTATTTACCTGCAACAGAACAGGCAAAAAATTGGCCCATTTCCCATCCCTTTTATGTCAAAAGAAGCTAGATCAGTGAATGTATAATCCCATTCTTTAAATGTACACAAGACATCAACATCTGTTAAAATCAAGGGTTAGCATCAGCATTTAACATCGATTGCATTATTGAAACAATACAGAACAATGCTACTTAGATTTAACTCCATTTTCAGTACAACCTTCATGATTAAAAAGGCCTAAATTATTGTAGAAAAACATTTTTAGGATGTTTAGGCAAATTTCCAATGAATGCAGCTTCCATGAGATTTATGAACAGTCAGCAACAAATGTGCAATTCCACTTGAGCTAAACCCACTAAAGCTTCCAAATTGCTGTTGCTTCCATCCAGGCACCATAGAAATACACTTGCACAGGAGAAACAGTTTACAATTAGCCCACCTACCCTCTAGAATTCCGGGGTTTAAATACAAATGGGAAAGAAGCATCAGTAGAGCCACTGGGATTTGTGGCAAGAATACTTTCCAAGATACTTTCCAAGAAACTCAGGTTAAGATAAAAATTAAATACCCAAACTGAATGAAACGTTGAATGTTGAAACCCTGGCACTGTTGGAGGAAGATATTTAAGTTATTGACAGTTTTACTCTTTTCTGACCAAAAATACTGAAAAAACCACAAATGAGACATTAGTTTCCAGTGTAAACTTTCTTAAAATGACAGAATTATGTTTGTTTAACTATGCTTGATATGTATCTTCCAACATGATTCCTTTGTCCTGAAAGAGTGAATCACTTGGTTTTAATTTGTGATATTTACCACAGGCTGAGGTTTCCAAATAAAATATAAACTGACACTTCTGAAAACAGGCTAAGAAGAAAAGCACTTAATCTACAGACAGGACACTGAAAGCACCTAGGTAATATAAATGAGAGAGGAAAAAACAGGACTTACCTTTGAACACTGTTTATGATTCTGGCACCAAGCAAGTGACCCATTGTTCTGAAAGACAAAGGAAATGTACATGAATAGTAATATTTCTTTCAGGCTAGACATATTCACCCTAACACATTTAAATGGAATACACCATCCAGTTCTGCTTAGACAATGATGTTGTGCCACAATATAGGTACCAATCCTGACTCCTAGCCCTTTTTGTGGAGTTAAAGGCTCACACAAGTGTAAAGAGAACATTAAAAAGTTAGGAAAGCATTTCAGCAGGCAAGTTTGCTGGAAAACTGAACAAAGTCATCTTTCAGTCCATCTTTGTAAACACTTGCTGTCTAGAATTGCTAAGTAGTAGACAAAAGTTAACATTTGCATTTAAGAAATTGATACAGATTAGTAGTGATTCATGAAAAGTCCATTAGTTGCATTTCCATATTGCACAACACTTAAACTGTCAAGCAAAGATAATGAACAACCTTTATGTAAATGCAAAATTCAATTAAATGCAACATGAGTTTCCCAAAAGAGTACTGTGCCAGTTTTATTTTTTATTTTTGATAATGAAGTGCATTCCTGAGATCAGGAATCAGTACAGCTCTGATTTATCCTGACTGCAGTAAAACAACCAATACAGGATAACATGCAAAATAATAATTTAAGGTAAAAGAAAAGAAAACATGATGAGAAGAGAAAGAAGTACGAAACTGGCACAGGGACAAACAGCAACGTGCTGTTCTTCTAGAGACATTTCTTAAGGGTCAAGTCTGGAAAAAACTCAGCTCAGAAGTGTATGTTTGTGGTGTTCAAACATGAAACAGAATAATTATCTACTTTCTGTATAGTAGAAGATTGAAACAACATCAGGAAGACCTAAATGACTGAACATGAGAAATGGGGTACAAACCCTGCAACACATCCTAAGTTGACATACTTAGGACATTATATGTATGTACTTCTTCCATCATTTATAAATCCATACTCTGGAAACAGAATGGCTGAAGAGTCTGGTAAATCTGTAGTTCAGAATTGGGCTACAAATGTCAGTCTACGAGGGAGTAAAAGGACACCCATTTATAGGAATTAGGCAAGGTACTCCCACAGGGAATGTAACTGCAGTATATTGTCACTGTTGGCACCAATTATAGATCTGGAAATCAATTTCCAAGGAGGAGGAATTCAGTTAAGCCAGAATGTAAAGTACTAATATAGCAGCACTGTATCTTTTTCTTTCTCTCCTTATAAAATTTATAGAGTGATACAAATAATGGAATAATATATATATGTTACATTTGTTGGCTTCATCTGGCATAATTTTCTTCACAGTAGCTAGTACAGTCTATGCTTTGGAGTTATGCTGGAAGCAGTGCTGATAACACGGGGATGTTTTTCTTTCTGCTGAGCAGTGCTTACATATAGCATCAAGGCCTTTTCTGCTCCTCACCCCATCCCACCAGTGGAAGGTTGGGGCTGCACAAGGAGTTGGGAGGAGACACAGATGGGACAGATGATCATAAGATCCCAACTGACCAAAGGGGTATTCCATACAATATGGTATAATAATCAACATATAACACCGAGGGGAGGAGAAGGAGGAAGGGATGGATATTTGGAGTGATGGTGTTTGTCTTCCCAAATCACCACTATGCATGACAAAGCAGATGGCTGAACATCTGGGAAACAGTGAAATAACTCCTTGCTTGTGTGCATGGCTGTTGCTTTACCCATTAAACTGTCTTTATCACAACCCATGAGGTTTTTCTACCTTTACTCTTCTGATTCTCTCCCCAGTCCCGCTCATGGAACAACTGAGTGAGCACATGTCAAGTTAGTTGCCAGGTGGCTCTTAACTGCAACAATATATAACTTTTTATGTCTAAAACTCACACAGATAAAGTAGAAATTATTCCATCAGTATACAATTCAGAAGGATAAATAGATACATTAGAATCATTGTAATGGAGACAACCACAATCATTTTTCAAAACTGCAGCACTGTGCTCTGATCTCAGCAAAGTTTGTAAGCTTGAATACAGCTATTTGCTACCACAACTATGAAGCCTATGCTTTGAAGCTGGATCTCTCTTTGTGAATGTTTAAAAAGATCATGTTTGTGCATGTCTTCATACAAGTGTATAGTCACTTGTTCACAAAAGTTTCCAAGATGCAGCCAGCAGGTCAAGGGAAGGGATCATCCTCGTTTAATCTGCTCTCATGAGCCACACATGGAGAACTGCATGCAGTTCTGGGATCCTCAGGACAAGAAAGTCAAGAACCTCTTGGAGCAGGTCCAGGGAAGGGCCACAGCAATTATCTGAGGACCAGAGCACCTTTCAGTAAAGGCTGAGACACTTGGGGTTGCTCAGCCTGGAGAAGAGAATGCTCCAGAGAAATCTTATTGCAGCCTTTCATTTTATAAAGGGGGCTTGCAAGAAAGACAGAGACCAAGGCCTGTAGAGACAGAACAAAGGGCAACAGATGAAAACTGAGAGAGGGTAGATTTAGATTGGGTCTAGGAAAGAAACTTTTTATGGGTGGTGAGATACTGAAACAGGTTGCCCAGAGGAGTGCTGGATGCTCCATCACTAGAACTGTTCAACGACACCTCATGGAAGATCCCAGGGCAGGAGGGATGAACTAGATGACCTTTAAAGATCCCTTCCAACTTCCATCATTTTGTAAGTGACTTCAACCATCTCCATAGCCATAATCACAGCACAGTTTGGCTTTCACCACAACTCTTAATCCAAACTTCAGAAAATGTCTTTTTTTTATATGAGCTGAAATGCTAACAATTTCTACTCCTGTATCACCAAGGAAGCTATGGGGATAATAAAGACATATCCACTCTTTTTCACTCCTTTACACTTATTTGCAGTTATTTATGAGGGTTTCAAAACAATCAGTTCATGCCATTTAATTTCAATATTTTATGAAAATTTATTTTATCTTCCAGCAGATTACCATGAAATACTGCTTAATTTTATAATACCATTTTTATCTGGCATTGCGGTAAAATTTAGCTAAAACTGAGATTTGCTAGCATAAGATTAGCTAACTATGAGCACCAACTCAGGTCCAACCCCTTTGAAAAGGGACATAAATGAAAGAAATAAAACTTTAGAACAGCTGTAAATAACATAAGCTAGTGGGAATTCTTTAGTATTATTCTCAATGCTGTATTAGGATTTATTATTTCCATTTACAAATCTAGCCAGCAGCAATGTTAAAACAGTATTTTATGTGCTAGTTTCAATTTATCCCCCTTTCTTCTTCACATAAAATGTGACAGAAGTAGCTGATTGCAATAACAGATCAGTAGCAGCTCACCACTTTGTTTCAGTTATGCTGCTACTTTCCAGTGAACTAGAAAAAGCACCTCTGCTTTTAAATTAAATCTGTTACTTGAGACAATAAAGCCATAAATGCCCAGATGTGTGGTTTCTCTACTTGATAATTTCAATGTCTACAACTGTTTTAATTTCTCTACTGAAACTTATTAGTATTTGAGTTAAAAGGAAGTCTATCAAAATGTAAAAATATTGTTTAGCAACTTCAACTTCATACAAACTAACATGATATGAATGATCTTTCATTGTATAAAGAAAAACAAATTCCTTTGAAGAGCAAGGTATCAGAGCAAGCACAAACTCTAAATGAAGGCTCTCTTCCCCTCTGCATCTTAACACATGGTTAATCACAAACATTCAGCTGTGATTATTACTCATGCCAGTGTACCTGGCTGAAACCATAATCTCAAATAATCAGCAATTTGTGTTTTATCTGTAGCATTTTACATGCTCCCACATTCCATTCTCAGTTCCTCATGCCTGTTTTTCTTCAAACCCAATTCTGACTTATGCCAGTGAGACTTTTGACTTAGTCTGTAGTGGTGGCTTCAATCTGCAGTGCAGAAATGGCCTCAACGAAGAGTTAAATACCACTTTTCCTACCCATTTTTAAGCCTTGCACAGCATATCTTCAGGGCAACCAGGATTAGGGTATCCTAAACTGCATACTGAGGAGAGCAAACTGCACTCAACAGGTCGAACTCCAAGCATCCCATCTTCCCAGGCCTGACACATCATATGAAAGATGTCAGGCAGAGGAAACTGAAGCAGTCTCCTATAGCACATAAGAGATGGATTAGAGGAACTCAGGTCACCACCTGAGCCCCACACACTTTGAATCTGCCAGGAAGGAAATAGCAGACAAACTTCAAGAATCAGACCTTCAAAGACCAGGACTGCTTGACATGTACAAGAAAAAGAGCTTACAAAAGCAAAAACAGGAGGGGGAAAGAAACTAAAACAAAATAACAGATAAATATTACAAGAGTTGTAGGATTACAAGATTGTATTACAAGATATATTCCAGCAAGTATTTGTGCATACTTAATTTCCTTTGTTAGACTACAAATGCCTTAAACAGGACAAACATCTATATTCTGTGCCCTGAAAAAAGGAAAGCTGTGCAGCATCTCTTGTAAGGAAAAAAATACATGTAGAGAAGCAAGAAAAATCAATCTTCCTCTACCTACAGTGGGTCCCATGGGGGGGAAGAAGTTAATAACATTTGCAAGCAAGTACAAACTGGTCTTTAATTGGAGCAATGGCAAAAAAAAAATACAGTATAAAATTACTTAATTTGCATCTCTGTCCATAATTATGTTAGGAGATACAACCCTTCTTTTGAAATGCCAGACATGAGCTGTGAATATTAACTAGCCACTTCATCTGCTATGACAGTAGCTGTGTATCTATTATCAGTTTTGGAAGTCTCATCTTCCCTGCTCCATCTTCAATCCACATTTGTGTGAAACCACTGTCTCTCAGAAGTGGCCTCTCCTGACATCCTCACTGATTCTTTCAAATTGAAAAAAAAAGCATAGAAATAAACCTTTCAAATAACAGTACCCACTGAAGTAAAACAGAACATTTAAGTACACAAATCAATAACTGCTGCAATGATGAATTAAAAAGAGGCTCCCAATATACATTTTCTGTACCCTTTCAAAAATCTCAACAGCATGAAGTTAAAAATAACAGTAAAGTTTA